ACTTCAGAAACTCCAGACATAGGCTAATCATATCTAGATGGCTATAGATGGATCAATGATGGGCTCTTTTGATTGTCTCATCCAAATTTTTCCATCCTTTTTCGTCAGCCTTCATGTGGGTCTGACTGACTCCGGGTCGGTGTGAAAATCACTGGAAACATCATATTTACCTAAAATTTGGAGTGGTGTTAAACGGCTTGACAGGTGTTCGATGGTGTTTGGAGGGTTGCCGGTCAATCTTCCAGTCCCACGACCCGCGTATGCGTGGCTCCTGGGCCGGGTGCTCTGCTTCTGCCACTGAACCGCGTAATTCCGCGGCAAACAGGCATTCGTGAGGAACTTCGCCACAGCCGTCCTTGGTGGCGACGATAAAACTGGATTGGCCCGGACTGGTTGAAGATGGGTGTATTTCAATACGGGGGAACCCAGCAAATGGGTTTGAAGGGGTTTGGTCTATATGTTCCTTTTTGAGGGAGAGTTTGGGAGGTCTGCCTATTTGAGCACAACCATGTTGTTCATCTGTAGCACTCTCACGACCATCCACAGCACTGTCAGTGCAGACTCATGAGGCTCACACAGTGTTTTTGCGTTTGGGCATAGATCCATGAACACAGGAAACTGTAGACTGGTGCATCCACACGAAACCATGTCTTTCGGTGACAACGGTCCAAACAATGTTTGATGGGTTAGATGGACTGGGCAGCACCCGCACCATCCATGGGACTGTAATAGATACCTACATGGATGGATCATGTTCATGGGGTCAATGTATGTAGCTATATGTGGAGTGTCTGGGTTATGCTGTGATGTCTATACAAATGGCAAAGTTGATGAACATATCACGTCCAATCACTCCAACGTTTGGGTTTTCACCCGTTTTTTTGGTTCTCCAATCAGTGTGGACACACAAGGGTTAGCGGCGCGCGGGCGTGTCCGGCTAATTCGGTGCTATTTACAGTGCATTCATGTCTCTCAAAAATTGTCGACATGCGTTTCGACTGCGCAGGCTCGCGAAATCTGGGGGCCCGCGGCGGGTGCTTCTATCGACTGCGCTCTCTCGAAGCAGCGCAAGGGAAACCTCGTGGTTTGGTGGTTCAAAGTCGACTTTTCGCGACAGGTGCAAGGGATCGGAGCGATTTTTTCCTGCGAAGTGCGGACTTTAATACCTTGGACATGGTCGTGATCTTCGAGCCGCTCTGCAGTGAATGGTGACTTTTGAATATACGTGGCTCGTTTGCAGATTTCGTGGCAGGCACAGCACTTGGTGAACCTCGATGTGTAGATTTTGTGGCCGGCGCAGCACTTAAAAAACCTTGAAGCGCTGGCAGATTTCGTGGCAGGTGCAGCGCTTTGTGAACCTCCAAGTGTAGATTTCGTAACAGGCAGAGCACTTTGTGAACCTCGAAGTGCAGATTTCGTGAAAGGCGCAGCGTGTGAGGTCGATTCTAGAGATCTAGACGCATTGGGGTTCAGAAAGGTGATGGTGGTGATGAAGGTGGAGATTGCGGTGATGGTGGCAGTGGTGGTGAGTGTGACTGTGAGTGTGAGTGTCTGTGCATGTGAGTGAGAGTGAGATTTTTAATGAGTGTGAGAGTGAGTGTGCGTGAGAGTGAGTGAGTGAGTGAGTGAGTGAGTGCCGATGTTGCGTTCTCGGTGCCCAAGGGGCTTTCCGCTGCGAGGCCTCAGAATTTCCAAGCCTTCCGGGTCCACCTGGCACCGAATCGATGATGAGATACACGACCGAAGCGGTCGAATTGACGAAGCCCAGGGCCTTTTTAAAGGGTTGACAAAAAGGGTTCCAAGGAGTAGCGAAAAACATCCCGTTTTTGGTTTCGCTGCAAAAGGCGTTTTTGGTGTCAAAAACAACGTCTCCAACTAATTCGTGTCTTGGCTACCCATGCGCAACATGTTGGATTATGGCGCCAAGTCTCGTGCTTGCGTGTTTCAGTATATCCATTCAGGATGGTCAACGACCACTTCAAGCGCTCTACTTTTGCTCAGACTCGTCGCAATATAGTCTCCACCCCCCCGGTGTTCGCCTCTCGCTCGCGGCCCTTCACCTGCTCCCGCGCCGAGCGCTGCAGCTGTTCCAGCTGCTGGACCTGGCGTGAGCTGGTGGAGTTGGGTGCAGACCCATCGAGCGGGTGCGAGATGGCTGTGCGTCAAAGCATGCCGGACACCCTGGTTGACCGCGGATCAGTTCTCAACAGATTCCTCGATGTCCGGGATGTCAACCATCTCCGGTCTAATTTCTGAACCTTCCTGGAGGTCAGAACGCCCGGGAGGTCTCCTCTGTATTTGAGCTACACACTCGAGTTGGGTGGTTTGGGCTTGGAGCACAGGTTCTTAGTCAAATTCCACAAGCCTTTTGTGGCAGCAGTGATAGTGACACCGAGACTGTGATGGTCCTACATGTGGTTTGGTGTCGAGGTAATTTTTCAACCTTGTGGAAATAACATCACTTGCTGTAACCCATTGGCTTTGTGGGCTGTTAGGACATGGTCTGCTACAAAGGCAGCCCCTGTTGAAGGTGACTTTGCCACCTCCCATTTTTGTGTTGAAACTAGGCAGGAACATTTCAAGACTCATCTACATATATCCAAATCATCCCTATGGATTAAGTACCACCCTCTGAGACGGTGATCTGTTCGACGCAGCTTTATATTATCTTGTATATTTTTGAAGGTTTCGCGTCCAGTCGTACTGAACCTGAGACGAACCCTGTGGATCAATATAATAGGGAGACGAAGCTGATTCCCTTGAAATCATCATGGGATTACTGAATACATTATATACTAATACACTCCTTGGACATCATCGTGGAACTGTAGAGTCACTTCGCCCCGAGCGCCGAGGCACATCATTCAGGATCTGCTCGGATGGCAAGGGCACCTGGTGCAGACGGGCATCCACTCGAGACGGAAAGGAAAGACTGAGATCGGGTTGAAACATATATACCAAATTCTCGCAATGTCTGATGAGATCACGTACCACCCAGTTTGGATGGTTATTGGATGGCAAGACACGTATGTGTCAATGGGTGGTCTATATCAACTAAACACGAAGTGGGTGCCTCTGGAAGAAAAAACCTTGTGTGTATCAAGTTGTAGGCTTTTAAGGTTGACCAACAAGGCGTGACTTAAGTGTAGCAAGATGTAGCAAGTGTTGTTTGCACTTCCAGCAAAAGGACTTGTTGCAAACTCAGCCTAGGTTTAATTTATGCGTCAGATTTCCAGGGTGACTCAAACATGAATTCTTGAGATTGCCGCTCTAGCAGCAAGATGAGAATGCAGCTTCCAAAACTATCCAAACATCCAGACTCCTCTAAAAACTCTCATGATGTCCGCCACATCCCGCTTGCACCCGAAGATCTATTTCACTTTCCCTGAAAATATGAAGGAAGTTGGATATATTCCAGAAGCGATGCCTACTTTAAGGTGATGTGCCCGCAATCCCAGGGTCCTGCGAAGAATAACTCCAACGGTGCGTGCGCACAATCGCAAACCAAACCATTTACCAAATTCTGCATGTATACCAACTAAATATATCGAAATACTTATTTGTCCAAAGGGGTGGTTTTGGTTTGGTTTTCAAGAGTCCACCTGATTAGTCTAAATCTGCCACTCCCATGGCTTCTCATAGCACACTCCTCTTCTCCTAAGCCTTTCTTCGCATCCACCGGCGGCGTGCCTTGGTCCGTCGCCATCGGTGCCGAGTCGGCCAACCCATGGGCCGCGCGCCGCGCTGCTCGCCGGCGCGCAGGTTGGTCCGTCGCCGCTTTCGCTGCGGCGCTGTGTTGAACCGAGTGGAGCAACGTGGAGCGGCGTGGTGGAGGTCGTTGTGGGTTCGTGAGGCGATCGGACCGCGAAACCACGACAACGGAGGAGTTGGAACTGGCATGAGCATTTTTTGGGTCAGTCATGGTTCACGTTGCGCTTCATCCACAGGAAGAGCTTCTTTTGAGGAATCAAGCCCCTGGTGTCCTTTTGCTGCGATTCTTGCTCTATGTTTGATTTGCGTCGAAACCTGGGCCATGAGAAGTCGCCAGTGGTGTGGAGTTCAACGTTTCACGCAGGAAAAGGACACGACAATTTCTACCTTACCCAGACCATCTATGTATGGAAAAGTTACCTACATTCGGTTCATAAATGGGGTCAACGTACTGCAACAACCATACATGAGTGTCTGCCTTACTTAAGCAGAGGGTTTGGGCACGCAGTCGTCCAAAAGTTGGCAATCACAATGCTGTGAGATACCCGGACTTCTTCCGGCAATTGACGTTGGGCCATTAAAACAAAGGTGAAGAGTTACTATACAGACTGGCTGTTCAGTCTTCACACAATGAGACAACATCAGAATTCATGTTCATGGCCTGGACGCCTCTTGGAATCCCAATGGCCAAGACAGTATGAGTATATGGCAATGGACGCAGATCGATCTCCGTTTTCCTAGAGAATGTGGGCCTGAAATCCCATGTTCCTGGTCTGCTAGAGAACCCTCTGTGATCCTCCGAACATGGTTAAGCAAAAACTGTCTACTCATTCTGTGTGACCGTGTCACCCAAAGGTTCTGGGGAAAATGGCTGATTGGCCAAGACTCTAGCCAAACCATTCCACAAACGTTGCTGATGTAGGAATGTGTCCACAGTGGTCTGAATGATAACGGCTAGTTCCTCGACAGTTCGCACACCCAATATGAACTAAAAATAACGTAGTCAGTGTGGGGTCATTTGCTTTCAGCTACTTCATGTGATTGAAAGCGAAACTGGGCACGTACTTTGTCTGGATGCAACAAGCCCTCCATTCATCTTGACATGGCCCGAGCTGGCGCCTGCAAATTTCCACCACAGTTGGTTCAAAAAAACATTACAACAAAATTTGTCGAATCACCTCATTTCCAAAGACGACTGCATAGAAGGTCTCTTGCTTCCCAACTCACCATATGGCCATGTGGGCTTGGTGCTGTCCGACTTCCTTCACGGCCGCTTCTTTATTTTCTCTTCAGGCGACTAGGCGATCCCCACTTCGCCCAGCACCATCGCGGGCTCTCGCGGTCGAAGATCCAGAACCTCCACGGCTTGAAAACGTCAGCAAAAAGCAGAGCAATTCGTGTCTGAGAACTTGTGGTTTGGACGCGGGTCTTATTTCTTCTCTTTGTAGTGAAAATCTCCGTGCGTGCAAGAGCACTCTTCAAAACTCCTCCTTGTCAAAAGCATACCAGATGTTTACATAAAGCTTTGAAACATAGCCACATTGCCTGTGGACGGGGGAAGTGAATATTCACGCAAGGCCCCGCCACACATACGTATGGAACCAAATACCAAGCTAAGACAGTTGATTGGGGCGTTGCCTGCTTAAATTAAACTAAATAGGTCTATGGAGTGTCTGGAACCTTTTTAAGCTTGGTTGAATCCGGCAACAGCAACAGTGATCCGTCATGCAGCAGTGCGTACCTTTTGTGAAGCTCCTCAGATGGGTTGAAACGATGACTTTGCTAGCCAGGACTATGTTGTGGGGACAAACCCCAGAGCTTGAACAAAACATGGCGCCCTTTGTTACTAGTAGCGATGCCCTTGTTCCAAGTAGCTTCTTGTACTATTTGCACGTTACTTGGATGACTCGACATGGAATTTCGGCATCTGGTGTCAATTTCAGGGGGACCTGGGCCTTGTAATTGTAATTATAGGTTTTGGAATGTTTTGAACAAGGCCAACTTCAACTAGCGGATCTATCTCCACTCCACACTTCTGGTCTGCGCCTCTCCACTCCACACTTCTGGTCTGCGCCTCTTCGTCGGATGCCTCCTGTGACAACAAACCTAACTTCAAAGCAAACAAATGAAACGGCCAATACTTTGTAAGACAATGGAATAGTCATCATCGAGGTTTTGGTTGGGAGATGTAGTATGACTCCTGTTTCCACTTGTAAAGCCGTCTCTGTCAGTAGAAGAAGGCTTTTGCACCTGCTTGACCAAAACTGGCAAGGAAATTTCAAACCTTTGCAAAGGAAGCGGATCTATCTACACGGTCCACCATTCACTTCCAACTTGCAGAGATGCCCACGATTCTCCTCCAGCAGGGCGAATCGGTTTGCCAGAGAGACAGCCTCCCAAAAAGACTCGGATGTGACTTGAGGCCGAGGGTAGGTGACGAAAGCTAGCAGGGATGCATCCGTGTCAGTGGAGGCGAAGCATACAGCGCCATCCAGTGACAAAGGATTGGTGGGACATCAAGCGGAGTGAGGCAGTTCAAGAATGCTCTGACTAGCTTCTTGTTACTAGTAGCAAAAAGGAACCTAATAGGAATGGCCTCCACCCTAATATCGATGGCCTCCACTCCACCTAGGGCCTTCTAGCTACTAGTAGCTTCTTTTGATACTAGTAGCGACGGCCTACGACCTACTTCCTTATAGGTCGGGGCCAAGTCTTGGAAGTTCCTTGACTTTAAAGCTTTCAAGTTAGCATCAAACTGGACTTCTATAGGGTATAAGTATAATTGTGTATAATTCATACTTTTTGGTTCACAGATCCCGGCATGGCAGAAGAAAAGAACCGGTGGAGCGAACATGAACAGAAAAAGATACGATGAACGCCTTGGGTACCGGAGGTCGACCTAGGGGGTTGTGACCGCCGTAGAATGATCAGGATCATCATGTAGTCGTCCCTAATTAGATGACCGTGGCACGGTGTCCAATACATTTTTAGTGGGGATCTACTTATCTATCTATTTTGGATCTATATAATGATCCATGACTCGGGTTTCCACCTTCTCGGGGCGTTTCCCACCGATGCGGCCATCTTCTGCGCGTTTACTTCGGTCGGCCGTGTGAAGAATGCCATTTTTCAGGGGAGGAGCTTCGGTCGTTCGATTCGGCAGCAGCGAAGCCAGGAAAGCTGGGCCTTCGGAGATGGTAGCTTCTTGCATGCTACTAGTAGTAACCAGCACCACCCAAAGGGTGGTTTTGGGGTCTATAAACCACCCATTGGGTGGTGCTGGAATGCCCTTGTTACCAGTAGCGATGCCCGTTGTGACTAGTAGCTTCTTGTTCCTCGTAGTAATGCCAGGAGCTACTAGTAGCTTCTTTGCTTAACCCTTTCGGATTCGGAATTCGAAGCATGAAATCCATGGTGCTCAGGGTCGACACAGCGTCGAGTTTCGGTGGAGCGAAAGACGATCTGAGAGTCTGAATCCACGGCGTGGACCGGCGTCTGACTATCCTCCTCCTACACTCCCCATGAACTCTCATGAACTTGATCTTAGACGGGAAAAGTCGACCAGGTCCACCATGTTCAACCATGTCTGAGAAACAGAAAGAGATCCACTTAGATGGGCCTGGTCGTTACTAGTGTGTTATGAGGGTTACAGGCATTAGCTAGTGCCACTATAAGGCTTTACAAGCGTTAGCTAACGTCTCTAACGGTATACCCTTAAGACCACTTTTCAACAGGATTTTGCTGACATTCGTTCTGTAAAGATTGTCAACATAATTTCAAAATGAGCATATATAAATGATTTCAATTGCTTGTTGTAAGAAATTGCACAAAAATCTGGGTGTGCTTTTCACTGAAAAACTCAAAACATGTTTGCTTTTGAACATGAGCCTTGGCTGGCAAGTGAAATTGAGCCTTTCCTTGGCAATTGAAAACACATTGTCGTTGCCCGTTCAACATGAGCCTTCACTGGCCACTGAACATGTAACATCAAGCTGTGCAGGGGTGATTTGTTTCTACACCAATTTCAGGTGAAAGGGCAGAAGAGTCTTGGTGCTTTCACCTTTGGTGTGCACCATTGCTGCAAAGACAGCCTCCAACTGGATGAAGCACTGGTCCCTGTTGGTTCCCATGTGGCTGAATGGGTTGCTCTATCTTCACTGCAAAGCTTCAGCAAAGAGACACATGCATAAGCTTCGCCATTGACACTGAAGATCCCCAACACCTCTCCTGCTTCAAAGGACCTGCCACCATCCACAGCAAGCAACACAGTATCACCTGTAGAGACTTTGCCTTTGGAAAGCTTTGCAGAAGCACTTCTCTGAAAGTGGTTAGGACCAAATTCATTTTGAAGAAATGCTGCAAAAGCCTTTGGAGGATCCCTTGGTTGTAACACAGCATAACCAGACTGAAAGAGATCAGGTTCTCGAGTCTTGAACAGCTCCTCTGCCAATGTCTCTTCAAGTAATGACTTTTCAAAGACAGAGGTATTCATGAGGGGATTTGCAGCCTTCTTGACTGCCTTGTAAGAAATGAGCTTGTAAGGGCAATTGCAAACTTGAACAGGCAAACTTTTTCCTCCACTCCCAAATCAATCAAACCTCACTCTTCTCATCATCACTGGGCCTCCTGTACTTTCTCTTCTTGCGGGCTGTCTCTAGCATACTGCAATCTTCTTGCAAGAACTCAAAGACAGCCGCCAACTGAGTAGGATCCAGGGCCACAACCAAGTCTGGCGATGCCAACCTCTTCAAAGGGCAGTGGATGTCCACTTGTGTTCCATTGAGACCCACTGTCACCACCTGTGGACTGGTCCTCTTCTGTCTCTTTGGCTGGTCCTTCTCCTCTTCAAAGATCTCTTGAGCTTCAGCTCTTGCACCTTTAGGCTTGATGCCAAGCTTGCATTCTTGGGAATGCTAGAGGTGCAGCTTGAGCACAGCAAGGTCAAAAGAGCCTGTGAAGTCCACTGAAGCTTCAGCCACTCCCTGCCATAATCGTTCCCCACCAAGCCCTCAAAAATGGCGCACAACTTGCCATCGCCAAAGCTCATCTTCAGGGAGCGCTCCATGACCACTTTAGGAGGCATGCTTGCAAGAACTTGTTCACTACCAGATCCAGAAATGGGCTGCGCAAACAAAGATCCTGGCATTGGGTGCAAGGTTTTGTGTTCACACAGAAGGTTGAGCTTGCAAGAGCAACAAACTTATAATGAGTTTACAAGAGCAATGGAGAATGAGCTTACAAGAGCAATGAAGAATGAGCTTCCAAGAGCAATGCAAACTTGAGCTTACAAGAGCCATTGAAGCCAAACACCAAATTTTTGACAGAAAAACATAAACAATTTCTGGGTCAACATACTTTTTCCAACAGTTGGATGTAAGCAAAACTTTTACTTTTCATACTGTTTTGGTATACTTCTAACCTTGCTAACGCCCTTAGTGCTAATGTACCTAACCCTGCTAACCCTCTAAGGACAATATGGTCATTAGCTTAACACCTTAGCTAATGTTCATAACTCTTAAACTACATTACAGACATTATAACCTGCTATAAGCTATTGTTAATATGCTATGACACTCTTAGAATGTAAAAGCTAATGCCTATAACCCTCATAACACACTAGTAATGACCAGGCCCATCTAAGCATCCTCAGGTCAACTCAAAAAAGGACGCATTCCAACCAATTCCAAGTCCCAGAAAGGTGGAAAAGAAAAACGATTGGGTCTTCCTTCAGCCTGGGAGCCGCTGCGGCCCTGCCTGGCGATGAGCCTCCATCAATTTCATCCAGTCGGACCGCGTTTTGTCATCGAACTTCTGACACCTTGGAAGGAAAGGCAATCCAGCGCCTTTCCGTGGCACTCCGCATGGGTTGTGGTGCCACGATGCCGCGGCGAGGTCGGACGCGGGACGTCTTTCACCACGCCACCGTACGTTTGATTGTCGTCTGCGAGTAAAAAGAAATTGCATTGAATGGGTAGACTGGTTGATTCCTTTCTTCCAGAGGGTCGTTGCCTGGGAGGTTGAGCTACACACTCCAGTGGGAAGGGGGAGAGCATTTCCTCCCGTGCCGTTTCCTCCATGGGCCAGAGTGTCTCCCATTGAAATACACATTTGGGGTAGTGAAAAGAAAAACCGTGTCTTTTGCAATACCTAGCAATCATGTTATCGTTTTTTGTTACTGTTATCGTGTTCTCAGGTGTTGGGCTCTTTGCACACAAGAACTGTCAAATTAGCAGGTTTCCATGCATGGTCTTTGGTGGTAAAGACATGGCAGTAGCAAAGATAAGAAATAAACAGCTAAACAAGACTACCGCGCTGCACACTTCTGCCCTTGAAAAGGTCTAATGAAAACGATCAAATGGGTATTTGCCCACCAGGGGTGTTTTTTGCTACATGTCCGTATCGTTTCCGTTATGGTTTTGTTATCGTTCCGGACATCTCTGCAGGTTGCCATTTTCGTGGTTCATGTACTGAACCACATCCCATGAGTTTCAACCTGTCCCATCACCAATAGATAGGTAATTTGTAATGGAAGAGTTGACTATCCTCCTCCTACACTCCCCCCTGCTGAAGGAAGAGGTGAGAATCTAGCTTTCAAATCTAACTTTCCACTCAGAAACCGCACTGACTGGGCTGTTTGCAGGTATAATCATGTTATCGTTTCTTTTTACTCTTATCGTTTTCTGGTGTAGGAATGTATCAGCGGCCCCTCTCCGGGCTTTCGGGCTCAAGGTTCAAACACCCAGCGAGCATCCGCCTGGACCGAAGGAGGATGAAAGAGGGACCGGTCGAGCAATGGCGGAAACTCGGGTGTACTAGGAACAAGAAGCTACTAGGAGCTGGCCTTACTACTAGGAGCAAGGACACTACTAGGGGCTCCTGGGCAACCCTTGGAACCCCTGGAACCCTAGAAAGCCACGAAAACTCAAGCCCATCAACGGAGTTGTTCTCGTCTTCCCAAACTGCATTGACCGGGCCACACATCGATCGAACATCAAACGCATGTTCTGGTGGGAGTCCCTGCTGGGGCTGATTTTGCTGCGTGGGCCTTGGACAGGCTCAAAAGTCACGCATCACCCACGGAAGCCGGCAGAGAAAAAAGAGAGCAACAAATCATCTGCATGACACACACACAGAGTTCACACATATGTATTATACATGACTATAGACTATAATTGCATACGCGCATGATCACGCATGTTTGCACCGCTTGCACATGAGTCAACAATGCTCCGTTCGTCGAAAAACAACGCTCAGTTCCGTCACGGAAACCCGGCAAACGCGTGTGCATGAGGTTTCTCAATCCAACTGGGGAGGGGTCAGGTCGTAATCAAGAGTCTCCATGACCGGAGAACAGCCACGAACACCCAACCGGGGTTCATCCCCGATGGGTTGGTACTCAGAAACAAGGGCCTAACACAACACATCATAACACCATTTCTGCTCCGGCGTGCTTGGTACCTCAATTGTCATTGAAACATATGAATGTAGTCGCTTGATGAATCAAACCAACCCTCCCAATGTGGAATTGAAAAACCTCTTCAGATCTCTTCAGGCTTGAGGTGGTCTTTTCATCAAGAGTCCACATTAAAGTGCTGAAACATCAGCTCACCTCCAACCCTCGCCCATGGACAGAAACGCCATGAGTCCCAAGATCCCTGGGACCGAGGCGACTCATGCCTTATGTTGTTTTTGTTGAAGGTGCAACCCCAGTAGACCTCAGCTAAGATGTAAGACTTTTCTAGGAGCATGAAGGAACCGGACTTTCTACAGTTTGAATGTTTGGAACTCTTGCTCTGGTTGCCTACCACTGGATGTACTCAGAATTTGCACGAACACACAGCCAGACTACATCCGTGGCCCGGAGGACTCAGAAACTGAAAAGGATAGAGAGAGAGAGATAGAGGCTCACCAGGCCCCTATAACTTGGCAGAAGCTTAGAAGCTACACTCCCTGAAACAGTCATCGAAATCATCACCATCTCTTCCCAAAATGCTGCACCTCGGAAGCTGGACACTTCGGACAAATCAAGGACTCCGCCCCACCCAAAAGGGGTTGATTGGACCATCCCACTCCACCAGATAGGACGGCAAACCCCCTTCAACAAGCCCCCTGCCATCTGCCAAGCGGCGGGTTGTTGCCGTCGCCCTGTTGGATGCCCTATAGAGAAGGCGCAGGACAGAACAGAGAGTGATCCTAACAGTCTGGCGGGAGGGAGTTGGGAACTTCTACCTTTAGACCAAAGTTTTGGTCTTAAGTTATGGATGACTTGAGATGACTCTCCAAAGATGAAGCTCCAGAGCAAGAAGCGGCATTGGACTCCTGCCACACCCCTGAAGGTCACCACCGAAGCAGCACCGAAGACGGCCGGCTTTCCACACCGGCCAGTGGCCCAAACCGACCGGCCGCCTGGAAGGACTGTTGCAGTTGCTCACGAGGCGTGGCACCTGCCCAAGCCGAACCGAGGCGGAAATCTCGGCCGTATCTGGATGGTAGGGATCCAACGTATGCGAGCCACCCAGGCGGGCTCGTGGACTCCGCCTCGGTGGAGGTTCAAGAATGCTCTGACTAGCTTCTTGTTACTAGTAGCAAAAAGGAACCTAATAGGAATGGCCTCCACCCTAATGGCGATGGCCTCCACTCCACCTAGTGCCTTCTAGCTACTAGTATAGCTTCTTGATACTAGCGATGGCCTCCAACCTACTTGCGATGGGCTCTGGTGATCCATGTGCACCACACCACTCTTACGAGAAACCTGGGGGCATCAGTTGCAAAGATATCCCAAACCCTGGTCTACTTTATAACTACACTATACCGCCTGGTCTGCTTGCACCGAAGGCCGTGGAAACGTCCTCCTCCTCCTCCTTCTCCTCCCCCTCCTCCTCCACTCCACATCTTTTGCCGGCCGCCTTCGGCTAGTTAGCAAACTCGGAGTACCTGCAATGATACAAACCCATTCACGAATCTAAGCCAGTTCTATAAACCTTCAAACGCCACCTCCATGTTTAGAAGCTTATCTCTACGGACCCGGAACTACGACTTTGGTTGGGGTGTCCCGTCTCCACCGATGCTTACAAGATTCTACAAGTGCTCTGAGAAGGACATGCCCCGAGAACAAGACTGGATTGAGGGATGAGCTTTGCTTGGTTCGTGGATCAACTGCAAATTATTTTTGCGGTGATCTCACAGGTGATTCAGGAAGACGAGTCCAACTCAAGCGTACCCTCTCCCAATTGAAGCCCTACCCAACCCCACTGGGGTGACCAAGCGTGCGTCTGCCCTTTGCCTCAGCAGTCGAGCGGGTTAGTTGGTTGGTTGGTCGGTTGATCGATCGGCTGGTTGTTGGTGTGAGCACCTGCTCGTCATGAAGCTTGCGAATGAAACGACATCCCCAGTAAATGCCTAAAAACTGGCCGCCGTGGGCCATGTCCTTGGATCAGGACAGGTACAGGCCGCCTGAAAAGAGGTTCACGATGGTTCATGCCTTGCAGCCTGCTGCATTGCCTTGCAACGTCGCCCCAACTGCGGCTTAACACCCCACATGACAAGAAGCCTTTCCCGACAAGCTGTAATGTAGCCCCCACCCACCCAGCCACCGCTGTTCCACACTTGGGGAATCTACAACCAGCCAAGGAGATTGGGTGCCAAATGTTTAAATAAGGCTTCTTCCAAACAATGGTTTACCCATCCAAAGCCAAACGACATTCAGTCCGCCAAGAAGCATGCTTTCGAAAAAAAGTGGAAAAGCCCAAAGGCTTCGAAGGACCCGGCGTGAACTCACGTCGAAAGTTGGAGCCAGCACTGATTGCAGGACGCGAGACTCTGAAGGTTCCTTATAACCTCATTTTAGACTGGGAGTTAGTCATACAAAAACACGACTCGGCGTGAGGTTTTGAGACGGTGAGGTTTTGAGTTCTCATCTGGTCCAGCCTTGAGATACCCAAGCATAGCTTCACTAGGATGACTCCACAAGGAAAGCATTGGCAGTCTGGGCCGCAGAATCACAAGGTACAAACACAAGTTGTTTTGTTTACAGTATTTCTTTCTGGCAATCCTGCCCAGACTCTCCTGCCCAGCAATTGGTCCCTCGAAACCTAAGGATTTGAGACCCCAGACCCCTCCATATATATGAGGCTGGGTGCGTGTTCATTTTGTGGGGGGGGAACAACTTTTCCAAACGGACTTCGCCTCCCGAACCGGAAGAGACATGAAGACACACCCAACCACTGTCCGCCACAGTCCGAAGCCTTCAGAAACAACACGGTGTCTGACCTCACAATCACACAAAAATAGTGCCCTTGGAAGATCTCATACTTGAAAGACTCGTGGTGAAAGCAAACAACACACATATGAAAGACTAGTGAAAGCCATGCAGGTCGACCAGGGCCCTTTCTCAATCTCTTTCGCCCAAAACTTCCCAGGGACTCTCTTGGCCCCCCGGAACGTGTCACGGATGCCCATCACTCAGCGGCTGCAAGCGCCGTTGGATCCACAGGTTCCCACCATGCACTTGCAGGTGCCAAACCTCGCAGCCAACGACTCCGGCGACGGAACACGGGGGAACACACGCAAACACACGCACGGCACGAGCGCGGACACGGGGAAGCTCCCCCAATATCGTGCCCCTCCGAGCACTTCCTGGACTCTAAATCCCGGGGGCAACATGTGACCCTGGGAAACGAGGATGCATCGGGCGCGGACCCCAAAACCGGGTGAGGGTTCATGATTCTGGATCGACAAGCAAAAAGGCAGCTGGTGGTGCAAAGGGGTCATGTGTTCACCACAGGTACCGGTTGTCTGACCAAAACAAACTGCACCAAGATGGATTATATACAGAATATGCTATTGGGACCACGTCGATTGTCATGGAATGGAATCCTCCCGAAGGGACGATGACATTCCAATCCTATGAGAAACCTCTAGCTCCATCTGGCTCATATGTGACAGTGAGAGTGGAACCAGCTCTTTGCTCGCCATACCCTGAAACAGATAGGGCTGCTACGATGCAGGATATTCGACCAGTGACGCGGCAATTCTCCAAGGCTTCAGGTTCATATGAACGAACAGCTGTCCAAGGAGATAACACTGCAACTCCTTTCTTTGACAAAGAGATTTTTGATGATGTTGAGGAAGCAAAGGGCGCCTCATTGTACCTGAGGAAGGTCACACTTATCAGAACAGAGGCGCTTGCAACGCAGAATGTTCATGATAGTTTTGCTCAGCTTCCACCTCCCGGAAATCCTGTTTGGTGGCTGGCGACAGACATGGAGGCTATGGACGACTGGAGAGCTGTAGGTCGCCATGATATTGTCCTTGATGCCAGACAGCAACCAGTACGAATTGATATTGATGCAGCTCTGCGGTCCAATGAGCCAGGAGATAAGCCCCTCTCAAGAAAAAATGTCATTTCACTGCAGAAAGCTTTGCAGATGCCGATTTGGTGTGAAATACAACTTCCTGGAATCGATACTCTGCGACGCGTTTTGCAAACGCCGATTGTCTATCCACCAGTCCCATGGAATGACATTAGACGGTATGTTGGCCAAGAGCAACTGGATATGTTTGATGAAATGATCCAGATTACTCCAGATGAGTTTGATGAGGTGAAAGCGGTCAACATCTATACGGATGGTTCTTATTTTGGCCAATATGACCATCTGGCAGGATGGGCATTTGCTGCGGTAGCTGATGTAGGGGATCCCATCTGCCTCGCAATTGACTTCGGGATTGTCAGCCTGGAGCCGTTGGAAAAAGGATGGATTGGGGCCACTAGGTCTGATGCTAGGGCGGGCGAGGCCACTGCATTGGTCAGAGCATTAGAATGGGCATTGGCACACCGTCAATTCCAAGAGGTGAATTTCTGCTTTGACGCTCAGAGTGTGGGATTCGGTGCGGATGGCATCTATGGCTTCTCACTGCAAGAGCTCCCCCTGAGGATTGCACGAGCATTGACCCTCGCTTTGCGGCAGCAAGAAGGAGTTGAAGTTACGATGAACTATGTTAAGGCACACAGTGGAATTTTCTACAATGAGCTTGTTGACGCCATGGCCAAATTGGCAGCCAAAGAACAACGAAATTTCATTGATGAAGATCGCCCAGACTACTGTGCCACAGCTACGGGCCCACGATCGATACTTGACAGCTTATGGCTATATATGGGCAACCAAAGTGAGGCCTATCCAAGTATTTCGAATGGAAAGTTAGTTCTGCCGGAGTATGGCCAAGATTCTGGACTAGAGGGGAGATTACCCCCTGCTGTTTTGCCTGATCCGACACCGCACACCACTGACATCAAGACGGTGAAGCTTTCGGCAATCACGTATAATGTTCAGAGCCTTGGGGCACGTGCCGGACCTGGACAGACCCAATACATTCGAGAACAGTTAGCCCATGGTGGTTATGAGATTGCATTCCTGCAAGAAACTCGGACTAAGCACTCTAACATGGTGGTTTCAGACAGCCACATCAGGTTGTGCTCTGAGGCAAGGAACGGGAAAGGCGGGACAGAAATCTGGTTGCTGCGGCATCATGGGGCATCAACCAAAGAGCTTTTCCCAAAGCAGTCGATACAAGTTCTGTACTCAGATAGTGAGATCATCATCGCCCAGGTCATCTACATGTCTATGGCTTGTCTCCTTTGCTCGGCGCATGCGCCACATTCGGGACATTCAGCGAAGGTTATTGAAGACTTTTGGGATAAGCTGACAGTTGAGCTGCTTCCCCTAAGTAAAAGACATGCCAATGTTCTGATTGGAATCGATGCTAATGCACATTTTGCATCAGGGAACGGACAGGCTGTAGGAGACCATGGCCTAGAAGAGCAAGAAAATCTTTCAGGGCGATGCTTCAAGGATTTCCTGCATAAAATTGATGGTTTTCTGCCTTCGACATATGCTTGGATCCATGAAGGAGAGACCACTACCTGGGTAAGTAATGTTAATGGCCATAGGGCACGCTGTGATTATTCTGTTTGCCCTGCGGATTGGACTAAGCAGCAGATTAAAACCTACCCGGTCTATTGGCTTGATGAAGGAAATAGTGGTACGGATCACGCACCACTCGCTCTAGACTGTTGCCTTCAACAGAGGGTAAGAGGACGGCCAGGGGTGCGCCAGCAATTCGATCGAAGAGCACTCCAACAAGCTGACTCTAGATGGCTGGCGCAACAATTTGCTGACTTTCAGTCTCCTGCATGGCATGTGTCAGTCGATAGACATGCAACGACTGTCACTAGGTGGATTGAGGAAAAGTTGACTACCATCTTTCCAGTGGTGAAGACCAGGCCAAGGAAATCCTATATTTCCCAGAAGACCTGGAAGATGAGAGGAGAACGAATCCGACTCAAGAAGTCTATTCTATTTGCACAATCAGAAGCCGGAAACTGCACACTGCAACATGTGTTCGATGCCCTCAAACAACTGCATCCTTTCAGTCATCGACAGGCTTTCTTTGAGTTAGTCGGTTGGTTACGCCTGCTGATTGTCAGGAAAAGGGCCCTTGCAGGCCATACAAAACTCTTGACAAGAAGCTTGAAAACCGATAGGACCATGATGCTGGAAGAGATTGCTAGTCAATCTAGAACCATGAATGCAGCTGAGATGGCGGCTGCACTTCGTTCCATTGGTATTCGCAGTAGGAAGAAGCCTTCCTGCATTATGCCGCTGCCCATGGTTCAGAATGCTGCAGGCACGATTATTAGTACACTGGAGGAGTTAGCTGAGACATGGAGGCAACACTTTGCCAGACAAGAGGACGGGTCCTGTGTTGAACCGACGGAACAGCTGAATGAAGTATCTCGAGCCATTGAGCACAAAATCAAGCCCAACATCGACGATTTACCAACATGGCTTGAGATAGAAGCAGCCTTTCGACGCACATCAAAAAAGAAAGCCTTCTTTGACGACGGGATCTCTGGAGACTTGCTAGCCGCTATCCCGGCATGTATGACAAAGATTTTCATGCCGTTGTTTATGAAAAAGGTCCTCTACCAACGTGAAGCCCTGATATACAAGGGCGGCAGGCTGATCCCAGCCTTTAAAAAAGGGTCGCCATTGCGCTGTGAAAACTACAGATCGCTCTTTGTGTCCAGCCCTGTGGGAAAAGCTCTCCACAGTCTATATAGAGGGCAACTCGGCAAGCAATTCGAGCAATCACGCTGCAGCATGCAACTTGGAGGATTAAAGGGACATGGCATTACACACGTGTCGCATTCGATCCACCTTTGCCATAGCTGGGCTATTGCAAATCATTGCAGCTTTGCTGTCCTGTTTGTAGACATACAAAATGCCTTTTATCGGTTACTAAGAGAACACATTGTTTCTGGATCCAATGATGAGCGAACTGCACAAGCTATCTTCGATAGCCTTGCACTGCCACAGGAAACGTTTGATGAGTTCTGCGAGTTCTACGACCAAGGGCCGGCGCTTGATAACTCTGGCACTAGCCCCTTCATGAGGAGCTTATTTCGTGAATTCTATTCACGAACGTGGTTCACTGTCCCAGGATCAGAACAATGGACGCAAACCAAACGAGGAAGCAGACCGGGGGATTCCTTTGCTGACATTTGTTTTGGGTTCGCATTATCAAAGTTGCTTCATCGACTCGAAGACACATTGGTCTGTCGCTTTCCGTTTTTACAGTTAGGCTGGAACGGGAACCATGACCCCTTTTGGCCGGAAGCAAATCAGATTCTAGGACCACTGATACCAGTGTGGGCAGATGACTTAGCGCTGGTGATCTTCCATGACTCGCCGATAGACCTGCTGCGTCTCCTACCAGAAGTCACGACTGAAGTCCTTCATCA